AAATTAGCACTCTATAAGCACTAATTGATGCACTTTATTTTAAACGATTCTGCTCACTTTGCCATGCTAGCTTAACAGACGTCATCTGCGAGCCATTTTGGCCTGCACTGCAAAAACAATAAAAGTTACATGAATGTAATGTAGAGTGGAAATGTATCTCTTAAATAGTTCTAAAAAGAAGTCCGTGACACCATATATCTATTTTTAATGTGTAACTCATTACCGCTAAAATAGTGAATCAAAATATTATTTGATATCTATTTCCAAAATGCACATTTTGTATTAACAAATCATTTTTTATCAAAACAAATACTTTAATCGCTTTTGATATTTAAAGACGATAAACTTTGCTTTTTACACTATGTCATTTCGACAAATATTTAAAAAGTTACAACGATGACAAAGTGATAGCGCGTTGTACTATGTATAAGAAAAAAAATGGGGTATTCGCAGTATCTGATCCTATACGAAGTACTAACATTAAAACTGTGATACATATTTGTTTCTTAGGTTTTCACGCACATCACTCATTAAATAAAAGTAGTTTTTACGGGTTAATGCACGAAATTTTATTTATTTATTGACGTTTCGTAGCCTTTATAGGCTTCGTCGTCAGAATAAAACTTTTAAATATATAAATTAAACTTTAATATAAAAGTTTTATTCTGACGACGAAGCCTGTAAAGGCTACGAAACGTCAATAAATAAATAAAGTTTCGTGCATGAACCCGTAAAAACTAGTTTTATTTAATGAGTGATGTGCGTGAAAACCTAAGTGATACAGTTCCTTCTTATTAAATGATTAAAAATATATTATCATAATAGGTATTGATGATTATTGAATTTTAATGAAAAACTCAGAATTTTACTGTTTTTCATTTTTTTAACGATATTACTTAAGGTTACAAAAAAGGTTTACTTAATATAATGACAAATAACCCATTTTTCGCTAGTAAGTACATACTTATTGGAATCGCTGTATTTATTAATCAGCTCGCGATATTACCAATTATTTATTACAAAACCAATTTTGTAATAATTCTGCAAAATTCAAAGTAAATAATGTAGATTTTTTTATAGGTAAATCACCCCTTTCATCACCCTACACCTATAAGTATTGCGATGTCGTAGCTAAGAACCAAGTTCCCATCTACTTCTATATGGGAATTCATTATATTCGATTTAGCTATTAGGGCACGGAAGCGCAACAAATAAACTCACTTTCGCATCTATAATATTATATTATACTTACTAGTGATCCACCCGGGCATTGTACGGGCGAAATTTATTTATCGGGATAAAAAATAGCCTATGTCACTCGGACAAAATGTATTTAAATAAAGAAAAATGTTATAATAAATAATGTAGCTACCTTATGATGCATTCATATTTGAAACCGGTTCAGTAGTTTGACAGATTCTTTGTTACAAACATATAAATCTTGCCTCTTTATAATATTAGTATAGATAGTTAGGATAAGATAAGTATTTAATTGCTGAAAAAGATTTTAAAATAAAGTAAGTAATAGGTTTATTTGATTATATTTGTAAAAGTTACTTAGCATTTGTGCTTAACAGTGATAAGTTATTCGGTATTTTTATAACAAAAAAAAATTTGGAAAATTATTGCCATGATTGCACTACTGGGAGTACTCTTCATTCGAGCTTTACACTACCAATAAAAAAGGGTCGAACACAAAGTCTTTGACCTGTTAAATGTGAACGCTTTAAAAGAAAACTACAAAGAGAACTATAAATTGATAATAAATGAGATTGCTATGGTGCTCTACCTAACGTTATGAAAATTTTATTATGCGCCTTTAGTTTAATCAAATATTATAAACTTTGCTTTGGTGATTGCATAATTATTTAATTTAGTGATCTAAGGCAGTTGCCACCATTGTCCAAAACAACAGACGGGAATTACTTCTTTCTTCAACCTGCAATAAACGTCATTGATTGGTATTGTATATAGGGTGATTAAAAACATTTGAAGTTAACTTCTGGCATCTACATATTGGGTTTCTGTGAATTATGTAGGTATATAAAATTATGAGACTAGGGACTGACACTGAATTTGTGTATATCACAATCTTAGACGTCCGGCATTGACATGACAATGCAGCCACTGCCATTTTCAATAGTCGACGAATAAAAGTAAATGAATTTTATATTTACTGCTAAACTATTAAAAAAACATAAACAAAAGATGACTTTTTGAGTAAGTGCTAGTTTACTATAAAATTTACATACATTAGAGATATTTATGTAACGACTTGATTTAACTTCACACATTTTTGCGAAAATTGAGGCCCATCTGTAGCCTTGACCCCGCTGGTAAAGTCTTTATATGTCTTAATAAATCAATCTTTTAGACCGACGCAAGGTACTTAATAATTCCCGCGATATTAATTCCCTTACTGAAGTAACAAGACTACGGTATATACCGTCTTAAAATACTGACTAAAAAGTGTGAAATAAAAAAGGTAAATTTAAAAAATCAAAAAACCCGACTGCTTAATTATTCTTCAAATAAAAACTGAAAAGAAAAAAACAAGTCCAGTAGTCTATAATTCTGTTAATAAGGAACAAAGCTACTTTAACAGTCGAGACCCACTGTTGAAAAATATTATGTTCTTGAATATCTAATGGGTCCCGACTGTTAAAGTAGCTTTGTTCCTTATTAACAGAATTATAGACTACTGGACTTGTTTTTTTCTTTTCAGTTTTTATTTGAAGAATAATTAAGCAGTCGGGTTTTTTGATTTTTTAAATTTACCTTTTTTTATTAGTAGTAGTAAGACGCGGGAGATTTTCTGCTCGTATTGGAACGCCCCCGTCTGGGGAAGTGACCACTACCTTATAGAACACCCCAAGCCCACATAGCCAAATCTTCTTTATTTTGATTTTATGACGACCTTCGTGGCCGAGTGGTTTATACGCCGGTTTTCATGGTGTCGCCGACACGAGAGGTTTCGGGTTCGAATCCCGGTGGGGGCAGATGTTTGTGTGATGAATACGAGCATTTGTACTCCAGTCATGGATGATTAATATGTATTTCTATATAAATAACCTTATATATGTACAGTATATGTATTCTATCCGTTACTCTAGTATTCCATAACACAAGCCTTACAGTGCTTATTTTGGGGCTAGGCTAATTGGTGTGAGTGTTGGAAATATTTATTTATTCTATCGAGAACGGTCACCGCGGATTCCCAAAACCCAAACTTTATTGAATATGTAATTTACATTAACAAAAATATCTACTTCTAGCCGCAAACTATTTCGCCTGTGTTCAAGTGCTTGTTATTGTTTTACCTTTATTCGCATCATTGTTTCCAATTTTAACAATTCAATTGGTTTATTTAAGTCGTCGAGTGAAAACTTCGCGTTTTCAAACTATGTTGATTAAGCTGTGTGCTATGAGCGAAATTATATTTTTGGAGATTTGTTGAAAAGTGGTTAACGAGAGCAGCAGGACATTCTTTTTAGATACATGAAAACTTGTATATAATAATAGCATCTACATGATACTAGTACACATATATTATAGCAGCCTATTCTTAAAGTAATATAAGTTATTTATGGGATTGTTACCATGTACCTTGTTTTTAGCGAGTTTCCGATATTTCGGCACTGTTGCAAGCGCCATAATCACGGAGTAACTGGTAGTGACAGTTTAAAACAATATACAGCCTATACTTATTTATCAAGCGACACTTGCAGTAATGTTAAATGAAATTTGAATAAAATCATGTTTAAACCTATATATCCAAGCTATCTGTATTTTTTATTGAGCATTTAACTGCTAGATGTTTAAATCTAAAGAAAAATTACTAGAAAAAAATCTACTCGACCAGGCAGCAAACGGGACAAACCTTAACACTGTACCTGTATTAACTTATTTTTTTAATGTTTTCAAATCTTTCAATCTCTATTAATCTCACACTTTTGATATAGAAAGAAGCAATGATAAACTTCAAGAAAAAAATGGACATTAAAGAATATACGTATTCTAATGTCATCGCAGCTTATACGAGTTGTTATGTGGATAGGACTAGCAGTAGGACAGACTTATACAACTTATAGCATGTTGTTGAATCGATGAGCGTGAAATTAAGTGGTAAATTTAATAGTTCTTTTTTTTCCTGGGTTGAACAAATTTCGCCGAGGTCGGATATTTTTCGGATAGGTTAAATAAAACGAAAAATATGGCCCGTGCTTTGGAAGGAACCAAGTTGAAAGCACACACTAATCTACATCTAGAGTAGGTACCTATTGCAAGTTGCCTTGTCCATAAAAATGCTTGTAGAAAAGTATGAACAGGCTGACGACGTATATAAAGGAAATAAATGCTCACCCATCCCACTTCGTCGCAATGTTTCGGCTCTTCGTAACACAAGTAGTAATTGATGGCTTTTGAGCCATCGGATCGCTTCTCGGTGGACCACGTGTACCAGTTCTCACCGAACTTGAACATGTTGTTGATGTGGCTCTGGCGGTATATAAGTGGGAATATCATCTCGTTAGGATGCATCGGGTGGGGCTTCTCAGTGGTTGTAGTCGTCTCGTCGTCGACGCGTTTCACGTGAGATTTCTTCAGGAAGGGTAGGAGATTGCCTTCGCCGCTCTTACCCCCTTTATGTTCCAGGGGGTACCTGTACACTTCCTCCACCCCCGAGTCCTCCTCCGAGTGCATGGTCACCTTGACCTTGACGGCCGCCAACTGCGACAGGCACGCGGCACACATGACCAGTACTAACCAACTCATCTCGGAGTCTGACGGCGAACGCACCATCATCCTCAGTATATTTTGTAGAGGAAGTTATCGCTCGATAAAACGCCTATTTGTAAACACCGTCGCCCCCCCTCGAACGACCCGAGCACAAAGCATTGTGCTTTCCTAGTTTTTTTTCTCGCGCTACACTTCATGTTTACGAAGCGCACGCGCAGCTGAGGAAGGTTTTCAGAAAAAGAAACGACAAGTCGTATAGATTATTGCTTTTATTCGGGTACAAAGATGTAGAGTACAAAATAAAAATACTGCATTTGGTATCAACCTTTTCCATAAAACTTTGATTATGAAAATTAAGCATTTCCGACAAATACATGGTATTACATCTATTAAAAATTATAAAATTTAAAGCATAATTTTAATTTCTAGACTAATTATTATTCTTTATCTATATAGAAAATGTATAATCGTATAGTACAAATAAAAAAGCGAGTGAAGTTTGGACCATTGTTAGGAATTAAAGTTTTCCATAGTGCTCGTTCGTATGATACAATCAGCCATAAGAATTCGTATTTACAAGTATCATATCATAAATTTCGTTCTAGGGTGATATCTCGTAGCATTAGGGGTAAGAATAGCATCACTAAGGCAGAGAGGGTGTTTTATTGTACATCATTATTAGTGCTAACATTATCACTAACGCGCGACACTTACAGTATAATTAGACCTCTTTATAATCGATTAAAACCTAGTAAACATTGGTTCCGTCGTGCGCGCCGCGGGATGGCGCGCGCCCTGGCTCGCTGCGATGCCTCGATATTATTTACAAGATGCCAGAACGTCCATCGATAAACGTGCTCAGATATGTTTAAGTAGCGGCGATGGGCGCGCCCTACCCCGCGACCTATAATTAAACCTCCTACGATGCAAACTAATGGTCGCTTAAAACTAACGTGTGCTTATATTAGGCTCTGGGGCAGAGCCGACCTCGGAGCCGGCTCCACGACAGTGTAACAGCTATCCCTAAAAGCTTACAATCAATTACGTACCAATCTAAGAGTACTCTCCAATAGTCGATAAATAGAATTAACAGTAGGCGGGTGCGGAACAGATCGCGGCAGTCTTCAGACTTATGGCACTAAAGGTCGCCAAGAAGCGAAAGAATTCAACTCATGTTGAATACTCGAAATGTTTAAAGTGTCAAGAACTGTGATAACTGCGGTTACGGCCAACGTTTGTCACGTAGATTCTGGACATACTTGCCAGTAGGAGATAAAAAATAGAATCTGACAATTACTTTATCCAATTTAAGTCTCCGATGCTTGTTAATTGATCTGTCTGAATATAACTGCAATAATAAGAAAAATTTTAACAGTCGCCAAAACTACATAAAGTCAGAATAGTTGGTGGTTTCTCACTTTCCAAGAGGGTAACAGATTGCGATTTTGCTCGACTCCTGCATTATTATTGTGCCCTGCATCTTAATTAGAAAGAATGTTATTAGATATGACATAGTTTACTTACTATGACATAGTTAACTATGTCATCTCTAATATAAGACCAGATTTCCCAATCAAAGATATCCAGGCAACTCTGATCCTTTGAGATGGAAATAACCTCTTACTGAGAATACATAAACACCATTTTGTTTCACAAGGCCAAATGTACTGTTAATTCTATTTCCGGTGAGTAAGCTAGTGATAATTGATATATTGACCAACACAACAGAAGCAGGGTGGGCTGGGGGCGAGTATTGTACAAAAGTTGGGTTTTATGCCATTACAAATTCAGATATAAATGAAATATCCCTTATTCTATTCAATTGCGTACTTTTCCAAATTTAGTATTCCATAAATTGTTATTACCGGAAATAAATATCCTAACAACGGAAAAGATATATCAAAACAGGAATTAATAGAGCATTAACCTTAGAGTCAAGCTTGTTACGAATAAGATAGAATCATTAATTGAACAATTTGGGCATCGCCGCGTCATCGTCATACTGTCACACACTGCGACCCGCCCCCCGTCTCACTAAGATATATCTATTAAAACTAATTCGTTGGAAATTAGACCGATATTGTCGACAGGTTTCCCAGATAAAAAGAGGGCTGCACCGCCGTCGGATCTCAACATTTCCCCGTAGTATGAGGCCCGCAATTCACATTATTTATATATTTAGCGCGTCTAACTGTCAAACTCCATAGTAATTTTAAATTAGTAATTGAGCGTGATAAAACCGCGCTTTATATCAAATCGCGGTGCTCATGCTAGCGGAGTAGAATTCCCGGTTTATTATTTGCCACATTCCGCGTCCATTTCAGGATGCAAAATGTAAATTATTATTTATCATAAATCAGTGCATCTATAAAAGTAAATAAAATCATAATTCAGATGACACGTCAATAAATAAAAAAATCAGTGCATCTATACAGCTGTAACTTGTTTTTTCTTTATTTTTTATTTTAATTATAAAACACTCTAGATTTGCCAGGAAAGTGTTTAGTTCAGCAGTTGTGCATGAGAATTGACATCAAATATTGTTTTAGCAAAGTTTTTAAGATGAGGACGGTGATGCAGCCTCCAATTCTGCGTCCATACAAACAAATTACAATAAATACAACTCGATCATTCCACATTATTATGTCGAGGTAGAATAAGTATCGTGGCTAACATTAAAAAAATCAAAAATAGAGCTCTCCTTTTAGTGATATAATCGTGATTTCTATACAACAGTAAGGGGCTAGCACGTGACCGCACCCGGCGGAAAAATACTTAACTTCACAACTATAAAGTTACACCTCTAATAGAATTATTTATTCGATTCAGACGCACTATAACTAACGTACTTACTATTATGTATGACTAAATTACCGCCTCAACATACGTTTTATTAAGAAAAATATAAGTTGTGAGAGTTGTACCCGCGCTGCACCCGCGCCGACCTGTGACGCACTGCACGTGCCCAATCCCGGTCATAAACACCCTTTTAATAGCTATGTACTTCTCTAATTTATTAAAAAATCAATAAAAATCAAGTGTTGGAAATAGATAATTAAATCTTAGTAAAAACAGTAGAAAAATATCAGAACATTGTACAAACAACATAAAAATAGACGAGAATATTTTTTTAAAGTCAGTTTGAGCTATCAAAAATCGTTAGAAACGGGACGGGGCACAGTAAACCTATACCGCTAATAGTAACGCTACAATAGATAAAATTCATTTGGATTAACTATCTAACGGATTATAATTGTCACTAAATCTGATTATTGTACCAATATTTGCGCCTCTTACATGAACTACAATGGTCGAGGGTCCCTAAGGCAACGGTCACAGTGCAAAGCGCAGCGGGCGCGACGCGACACTAAGCGAATGCTTGAAACCTCGAATCTATACAACAATAGATGCATCCTTTCCTACCGCATAGAATCCGCTCAAAATAAAAGTAAAAACGAACTGTAGCAAACAACGAAGTGTAAGCTGATTCATCTCGCTCTAGCGACGTCTGTATATGCCAAAGAAAGAGACATAGTGCAAATAATTTATGTTCCCTTAAATATTAAAACATGTGTATCGCAATGTCCAAAGAAATGAACACATGAAATGTTGTTTATGAATATTTAGAATGACTGCGTTGTGAGTGTCAGTCATTAGAGACACATCACGACAACACACAATACAGCGAATTATAATTATATGATAGTTATGTGACATATCATCACTACGCATTCGCGTATGATATTTCAGTCTTTTAAGAAAATGCTTTTACAAAAAAATAACTATAAAAAGAAGAATGAAAATAATATCACAGAACTTAGTCTCTTACGGATTCGGTGTGAAATGAAATGGTGTGACAAACTGAACGTCAATGAAATGAAATATGGGAAATTGAACTTTGTTATAAAAGCGAGAAGGTATGATATAGCGACGCGAGTATGCTTAAGTACAGGTTGCCCTGAAGTCTTTTGGTATGACGCGCCACAAAATAATATTCATTAAAATAGAAATATTATGATACATACAGTGATTAAATAATAAACATGCATATTCAATAAATTTCATTCCATTTCGGAGTTATTCAATATGCATGGCGATGACGGAAGACAAACTTATACTACCGTCAAATATTTTAACAATTTTCAAATTATATAAATACGTTTTGAAGGTACAGTCGAGTACATCAAACTATATCAATCAATATACATTCTGAAATGTTTTTAATCTTTCATATAAATGTTTGAAAGTATTCTTTGTTGCATATTCGAATATATATTGTGGACAATTTAGTATTCATCAAAAATGCAACAGCATTTTAAGAAAATCAATTGTAGCTCTTTATATGTATGGCCCCTATTAATAAGAAGACCATGGTTATTAAAAGAAAATTAAAAATAAATTACAATGTAAAATACTGTTTTATCATCTGTTTAATCACTTGAATGATTAAAGTGAATGTTGCGATCATTTAAATAAAGTTACAGCAACTTACTCCACGCCATATAAATAGCCTTATTGTAAACTCTATATACAAAATAATAATATTTAATGACGCCCAAATTTTTTTTAACTAATTACAATTCCTGGTTAATAATTTTATTTATGGTTCTTCCCATTGCTTTTGATCGGGGCAAATAACTTGCACTATTATACGAACAAATTTGAAACGCGAGATTGCTCATTATGGTGACGTACTCGACAGTACCGGTAACAACATAAGTACAAAAACTATACCACAAGCGTATCTTAAGTATTAATAATAAATATTTAACTATAATTCATAAACAGATACAGATAGCTCTACACTTTATGCATCGACAGATGATAGAGCAAAAGAGGTGCGACAACACCAGACAGTTTGATATTTATACTATATAGATAAGTGTAAAAGAATAGATATTTCTTTGAAGCGAATAATACACATAATAATGATCTCTTGTGTTGATTGATGAACGCACGTTAAATATTAGACTATTCATAAATTACATTTGAGCAACGGCGTCTGTTATAACGATAACTGTTTTACGAACACGCCACTCAGAGTCTACAATGAAATCAACGCAGTAATGCAAATGCAAGACACCGTGGGATTTGCCCCTTATACATTTGAAGGGCCTTCCAAGCCAGTATTTATGATTTTTCTGTAATATTGTCATAACGTTTCGACCTAAAAGTACGACTAAAAGTCTTACAATAGAAATATCATCAACGTCGTATGAAAATACAACAATTTTACGTTATATAAATTTTATATATACCAACCACGCATTACAGAGTTTAGCGACCAAAGTGATAGACGATATTATAAGTGTAATAATAAGTGTTTACCAATTGCAATTGTGATACGAGTGTCATAAAGTAAGTGGTTTTTGTTACTGAATTATGTAATTATGTTGTATTGTACAATCATCTTGAGTACAAAATTCTAGAACTCATCTCAATGGTTTATATAAAAACCATATTTTAAACTTTTTTGAATTCAATGATTTTATTGTATTGTTTGTTGCAGATAGTAATCAATAACTGCTTTACCTATTAATGTAATAAGAAAATGGATACCTTTCGACACAAACTTTTTACATTTATAATTAATATTCGAATTTTATTACAATGCTAGGAACAAATTATAAATAATTTATAGTTAAAGAACCATTTCCAACTTTTTTATAGAAATAAAAACATAATTTTATAGTTATATCCTTAAAAATCAAATAAATACGGTATTGTAATTCAATTCTGAAAATAAACTATACTAATAACATAAGCTCGTTCTTAGAAAAATAAATTATTTAATTAAAGTAAATATAGTTAATAATATTTTAGCACATGTCAGAAGTTAGCTTTATTGATAGGTGAATTTCTTAATTTATACAACAGAATTACGATATTCTGTGATTTTCAGTCACCCATTATCAGAGCTAAAGGTTTTAAAGTCACAATAGAATTTTTGCTCATTTTTTACATTATCCATAGTGAATAGTACGAGTGCCATTAGAAGGCGGCATTAAATTACATTGAACACTTTCAAAGGTTTAAAGCGTGAATATTTTCAAAAATCTTAATGAAATTATAGTTGACTGTTTTCCGACAATCGTTTGTCAACCCTTATTGAGGTTCTATGATCAAATAGTTCTAGAATGTGAAAATAGCATAAAATAAAATACAAGCGTTTTATATTCCAATTAAAAATTCTTCATAACATTTGTGTGGCTATAAGGACCTTTACATATTTTTTTGGTCTATAAGTTTAGAACATATATTTTGAACGAATAAAGATTGCCTATTACATAGTATATTGCATATTTTGTATTTAAAAAACACGTGTTATTTGCTGTCATAAGAACGAAAGATTTTTATAATAACATAATATTAAAAATACTATGAAAGTTATCGGAACACACGTTCGCAGCGCCGAGAGGAGTGGTCTCTTTATTCTCTAGACGCTGGAAAGCTCAAAAAAAACTCACGTGAAACGAGACCTCTTTTCGAAGGGTCAGGCTGTGCGTCGGTTCTTTGTTCGTATTGTTTGTTGGTTTACTTTGTGTTCGTCAGCGTGGATCGTGGTCTAGGTCGAGCCGGCACTCGCGGCGCATCAGGAAGGTGTGGAGGTCAACGAACCGCGGGCGATCTCTCTCGCTACGTTGCCAGCACGCTGCCATCGCGTCGTAAACGTCGCGGGGGCAAGTCGCGGCACGTTCCAGCGGCCGGAACTCGCCGTCCTCCGCCTCCAGGTGCGATAGGTTCTCTAACACCTGTACGGAAGAGGGACGAGAATAAATTATTCAATAAAGAAAAACTTCTTTAGCTTGGACACTTTTGGCATGGCGAATAAAAACATTCGAACGACTGTCACAAACTAGGTTTCTAATATTTAGTTGCATGCCCTTTGGAAGCTATGGTAGCTTGACATCGCCTTGGCATTCTGCGCCATTCCTACTCTTTCTAAAGAGATGTCAATTTCATACCAGAGAGACCGTTCTCTATCTAATACTTACTATCCTATACTTATAGGCTCTCTCGATATGTGTGTAATTTACCTCTGCCCGAGTCATCGGTTCGTACGGCATGCTCCTGCAGTACGTATATATCTCGAGCAACGTGACCGCGAACGCTACACATCGCAGACCACCTTTATGATCTGCGTGAATGTTGCTATATAGTAATAACGTAAAAATCTCTCCTAGTGTAATTTAATTTACCTCTGCATGAGTCATCGGCTCGTACGGCCTGCGCCTGCAGTACGTATATATCTCGTGCAGTGTGACCGCAAACGCCCACACATCGCTGCGGGTGGAGTAACGCGCGCGCAAAACGCTCTCCCACGCGGCCCACCGCAGCGGCAACGTCTCGCCGCCAGCGCGGTAGTAGTCACCCGCGTAAGCTTCGTTGTCCGTGCCGAAATCGCTGATCTTAATCTGGTAGCCTTTGCCTATCAGGATGTTCCTGACAACAACGAAATTGTCAATTATCGAAGGCATTATTGAAACGCTACATAAATAATCCGGGAAAAGGGACAGATTTATCAGTATTTCGCGACCCGCGTACGCCACGTTGTCGGTGCCGAAATCGCTGGTCTTAATCTGGTAGCCTTTGCCTATGAGGATGTTCATGACAACAACGAAGAGAATTGTCAATTATCGAAGGTATTATTGAAACGCTACATAAATAGTCCGGGAAAAGGGACACATTTATCAGTATTTCGCGACCCGCGTACGCCACGTTGTCGGTGCCGAAATCGCTGGTCTTAATCTGGTAACCTTTGCCTATGAGGATGTTCCTGACAACAACGAAGAGAAATATTGAAACGCGACATAAATAGCCTGCGGAAAGGGACAGATTCATCAGAATTTCGCGACAAGTGCGTTATTAGTCGCTGACGTATGCCTCGTTTTCGGTGCCGAAATCGCTGAACTTAATCTAGTAGCCTTTGCCTCTGAGGATGTTCCTGATAATAACGAAGAGAACTGTCGATTATAAAAGGCGTTATTGAAACGCTACATAAATAGTTCGGGAAAACTCTCTTTTACTCACTTTAAAAACACATATACAAAGCTTTGTTTCTGAAACACGTTTCTCTACCACACGCCGTCTACTGTTCTCGCAGCTGTCGTACACAAATTGCACAGTAGTACAGTCAATCTGTCGAAAAAAATATCGTTTGAGTGAAAAAAAAACCTAAAGGGTAAGCCTTGTTTTTTCTGTTGCCAAATGACGTCAGTAAGCCACCTTGGCGATGGGCATGTTCAACTCGTAGGCGTTTTCTGAAAAAACTCAAAAAAACCGTCAAAATTTTTTTGAAACGCGTTTTTCTTGTTTTGTATGCGTTTTAGAAACTTTTTTTTCGACCATAATTGTAGAGGGCATTGAGTGCTACAATTTATGTCATTGTTGCAATCTCGTACAACAAAAAATGCGCATTGTAGGTGGCGCTAAAGTCTCAAAAAAGTGTTTTTTCACTTTTTCACCCTGAAAATATCATTTTAATGGAAAACTTTAAATGGCAAAGTTGTTTCGTACATAATTACCAACAACTTTTGTATAAACAATTTTTTTGTATTATTTACATAAAAATAGTAAAACGTACATTGAAATGTGCACTGCAAATGTGTACGGGAACTGCCCAAAACCGCTCTATTGGATTTTTCATACCTGCGCAATGTATAACTTGAAAACGGTAAGTAATACAAAAAAATTGTTTATACAAAAGTTGTTAGTAATTATGTACGAAACAACTTTGCCATTTAAAGTTTTCCATTAAAATGATATTTTCAGGGAGAAAAAGTGAAAAAACCCTTTGTTTGAGACTTTAGCGCCACCTACAATGCGTATTTTTTGTTGTACGAGATTGCAACAATGACATAAATTGTAGTACTCAACGCCCTCTACAATTATGGTCGAAAAAAAAGTTTCTAAAATGCATACAAAACAAGAAAAATGCGTTTCAAAAAATTATTGACGGTTTTTTTGAGTTTTTCAAAAAACGCCTACGAGTTGAACATGCCCATCGCCAAGGTGGCTTACTGACGTCATTTGGCAACAGAAAAAACAAGACTTACCCTTTAGGTTTTTTTTCACCACTCAACCTACAGATTGACTGTACTACAGATCTGCGTTCCACACCTACGATCCAAGTGCAAAACAAATGTCAAATTTGTCAAAATTTGTCATGTCAAAATTCAAAAGACAGAGAGAAAAAATGCACTCGGTGCGTAGGTTTGGAAAGGAGCCACCGCTAGCGAGTGGTCGAAAAAAATGGCCGATAAAACAATAAACTCCTAATTTGTGTACGTGTTTACCATCGGGCTCGGAAAGTAGAAACTTTTATTGACTCAAACAAATATGTGTAATGTACAGAAACAAAGTTTTGTGTGGACGGTTTTGTTGAATGTTGATATGCTTTGTTGATTGTGAAGGCTAAACTACGCGTTTAAGAATTAGAAATATTTACGACTATCATTCATTACCTGGCAGCCAAGTCTCTGTGCACGAAGTTGAGCGACTCCAGATACTTCATGCCGGCGGCAATCTGCGTCGCCAGTCGCGCCAGCGTCCTCGGCGGCGGCGGCGGCGACGCGGCCCGCAGGAACGCGCACAGGTCACCCTCCAAGTACTCCAGCACTACGGCCAGAGGGGGCGATCTGCACGCGCCCACCACACGGGCCAATTGCGGGCACGACAACGCGGCTAGCACGCAAACGTCGCGCTCGAAATCCTCCCTGCATTCAATCAAATCATATCTATATACATACTAGCTGACCCAGTGAACTTCGTACCGCCATAAAAATAGGGGCAGGTGGTAGAAGAGAAAATTTAGGGTAGTATGTATTTTTAATACCACATTATAAAAAAAAAACCTGGGATAACATTCCTCTTAACTCATATGAGAACACTACGTTACTATACCTAATAGTTTGAATTTTGGCGCGAAGGCGCATTGTAGGTTTCAGAACACTACGTTACAGGTGGACAACCATTATCAATTATCCCTAATTGATAATGGTTGTCCACCTGTAACGTAGTGTTAAAAATAGATAGTAGCCGATTCTCAGACCCACGGAATATGCATATAAAATTTCATAAACATCGGTCAAGCCGTTTCGGAGGAGTATGGTAACTAACACTGGGACACGAGAATTTTATATATAAGACTAGCTGACCCAGCAAACTTCGTACCGCCATAAAAAAAATAGGGGTTGGTGGTAGAAAGTTGTAAATTTAGGAATGTATGTATTTTTGTACGATGTATCATAAAAAAAAATAAAAAGGAAAAATTAATCTAAAATTGAAAAAAAAAAATTTAGGGGTGGATTACCCTTAACATTTAGGGGGATGAAAAATAGATGTTGTCCGATTCTCAGACCTACCCAATATGCACACAAAATTTCATGAGAATCGGGAAAGCCGTTTCGGAGGAGTTTAACCACAAACACCGCTACACGAGAATTTTATATATTAGACTAGCGGCCCGTCCCGGCTTCACACGGGTGTATTAAATACTATGTAAATATAATGAATCAGCATTTATATCTAGAATACAAAGAAAAATGAACCACAAAAAACAAAAGGAAACAGTGGAAGAGCTATTCACTATATAACGAAAAAACAATTTTACAAAAGCTACACAAACAAATTTGAAGGACGTAAATTCATTGAAAGAAAATTCAGTTCCACACGCATCGCTTAGGGAACCTCGGTTTTAATTCTACGGCATTCAATTTTCGATTTTTTTAAAATTTTTGAATACTGCTTACGTCACGTTCAATTGTGTCTTGCGCTTGTTCTTTTTTTTTTAATATTGTATTGGTTCTGAAATGAGAAAGTCTGAAGCCACTTTTTTATAATTATTTATATAGGTATGGAGCATTACAATGTCTCCATCCGTATATTGAATATCTATAGAAATACCTACTATATAGCTGTCCCAGCGAACTTCGTACCGCCATAAAAATTAGGGGTTGGTGGTAGAAGGGTGAAAATTTAGGGTTGTATGTATTTTTGTATGATGATGGTCCAAAAAAAATTGTTTAAGTGTGGACCACCCTTAACATTTAGGGGGATGAAAAATAGATGTTGTCCGATTCTCAGACCTACTGAATATGCATATAAAATTTCACGAAAATCGGTCGGGCCGTTTCGGCTAATAGTTAAAACTGTCTTTATCAGTTATTAATAAAATGTGAAAAAATAATTATTGCACTGGAAATTAATAATAAATTCACGATGAGAGTAAAATTAACGTAATAGATGCACAGAAAAATTAAAATAATACGTATAAGTCACTGATACGATCGATACACAAATGAAACCAAAAAAAATGGCCGAAAACTGTATATTGAGGAAGACAGGAGACCGGCTTCCTTCTCATCCCTACTCCGTGATTTTTGCTGGACGAGAGGTGACCCAGGTAGACATCTAGCGGGGATAACTGATCGATTGATCGTTGATCGGTTATCGACCGGTGAAGGCGGAAGATCAAATTGAATTGAGAAAAAAAAAGAAATTATTAAAAATAAAAATCACGATGGTAAAATAGGGGTTGATTGTAAAGGGTTGAAAATTCAGGGTTATATGTATTTACTAATGCTGTATCATAAAAAAATTTTTTTTAGATAAAAAAATAAAAAAAATATATCTAAAATTGAAAAAAAAATTTAGGGGTGGATTACCCTTAACATTTAGGGGGATGAAAATAGATGTTGTCCGATTCTCAGACCTACCCAATATGCACACAAAATTTCATGAGAATCGGGAAAGCCGTTTCGGAGGAGTTTAACCACAAACACCGCGACACGAGAATTTTATGTATTTGATAATAAAATGGTAGGAAAGTCAAAATTGGACATTGAATATTTTTTAAAAATAATACTTGGGGTGTGATCTGCGATCGATACCGAAGTCAAAAATATAGTTTTTAGATTTTTTGTCTGTATCTATGTCCGGGATAAACTCAAAAAGTACTGCATAGATTTACTTTAAAGGACAATGGGCAAAAATATATGGACGCTGCACCCACGTCCGCCACGGCTTAAACTACATTTGTTTGAAAGGTATTATAGACAAGATCATCTGTGCCAAAGCGCATCAAATTCCATCCCGGGGGTCTTTAGTTATTTTAAGTTAAATATGTACAAGTACTATAACGAACGAACATTAATGAAACAAGGGAATTATTTAGTTAGTTAGTTCGACCCTACATAAAGTGCTCAGGAATTCTGGGAGTACATCACAAGGTGCAAGGGTGCCCCCCTATGTTATTTTGCCGCGCTAGAGTAAATCCAAAAATCTCCGCATGGGTTGGGGTTTTTTTTAAACATTCTGTTCGTTATACTAAATTGTCTTCTATGTAAAACGGAGCGACCACAAATTACACAAACTTGTCCACGTTTGGGACAGAAATGATTCCAGTTCATCCATACTAACTGACAAAACCGATAATCGTGTTCCAATATCCAAAGCGAGTTAGATAAAAATCAATCAAGTAGCAGGGAGCGCACAATCACAACGAAGTAAGACGAGTCGAATATTTGCAACTGCAAGTCCTTCATCATCCGTAAACCGTTCTGAAATGTCTCAGTAAGAGCAAGCGCAGGATGGTCGGCAGGCTTTGTCGTATATCTGGTTGTATAGTACGATATGGCATATTATTATGATTACTAATAATATAAAATGAAGGTACTATAAAATGAATTTATTCAGCTACTTAAATATGCCCATGTGCCATATCTATTGACTACCAGGATATTTTTTACGGTGTATTATCTTTTGACTCCCAGGATATTTATTTTCTGTGTCATAATAAAAAAGGCTAGTTTTTCATAGATCTATCGATTCATACTAATTACATTGTTGGCGGATCTGGGTGCGTTTTGCCCATTGTCCTTTGGCACTAATATTATTATGAAGTCGGATCAACATATAGGCTACATTTTATCACGCTAAATAACTAACTCCACACGTACGAAGACGCGGGCTGCCGCTAGTCGACAATGTTTTGTAGTAAGGGCGAATAAGGTAATCGGGCACAACAAAGCCGACACGTAGTAATTACTGCCGACCATTCATCTACACATTTTCGATTATACCGCCCGGCTGTGCCGATTAATGCCGGCCCGCTTATGTGTATAGCTTCCCTAATGTGTATAGCTTCCCTAATGTGTATAGTTTCATAGTAAAAACCAGTTTCATATGTTTATTATTTGGACTGATCAGTATTAACGGCAATAGTGTATAACCCTCAGAACCATGAAAAAAACAATGCGTATAATGGCGAATATCACATCTTGTTACGAATAAAGGCCTAATGTGGCTTATTCGCTACAAAATATTGACGAAATTATTAGACTTGCTAATAAGAAACAGCCGATGGAGGCGATCTACACGCGCCCACCACGCGGGCCAATTAGGGGCACGATAGCGTCTAGTACGCGAACGTCGTACTCGAAATTCTCAGTAGATTTTACTTAATTATATTATGACGCTTGTTAATAATTTAGGGGAAAATAATAATCTTTATCGGTAATATTATTTGCTATTTAGGATCATATAACATATTGATGTCTGTCTTATCTGGCATGAATCGGTAAATCCAAAATTAAATTTGACCACAGTGTATCATTTTCATTCTCTATACAGAATGAAAAGAACTTAAAACTATATTTAACCTCACTCTCTCTTTTCATTCTGTATAGAGAATGAAAAGGATACACTGTTATCAAATTTATAGCATCATTGCTACAACAGCTACAATAGATTTATATTTTTTTTCTCATCTTACCTCTCCTTAGCGGTGGCATCATGGCAGAGAAACTTGACTGCCACGAGGCGCTTTTCTGCCGTCACAGTGCCATCGTACTCTGGCACCCCATCCGCTTCTGCGACGTATACCTAACGCACATAAAATATTTATTAGTAAATTTTGCCAACATTTACTAACAAGTCATTCATTTACTAGCATCCTTTTAGTAAGGATTTTTATACTTTTTATGTTTTTCTATGACTTTTGTGATGTTTGAATCTAAAGAAAATACTTACTTAAAATAAAAAAATAATAAACTACAATTGCTATTTCTTCTTTCAAATGTATAATACTTGTAAAGATACATATTACGATTGACATTATGGTTTACCTACAGTGCGAAGAGATAACGCTGCTTTGCAGCTTAATAAATACTAGAAGAAATTTGACATGGCCATTAAGGTCATGGTAGTATAATTGGTCAGTGCATCCTCCTGGACAGTGGAGGATGTGGGTTCGAGTCTCGACTGTATCCTGGACCGCGTGGAATATTTTGTACTAAAATTTTCTTTAGATTTAAACATCTAGCAGTTATATGATTAAAATAAAAATATAATAAACTTAAGTAATGTATTGTTAATTATTTCCCTTCATGAACTCGATATCAAATGGTGATAAATATGTATATACTTATCTACAACATTTATTGAACCAATAAATGATAACAATATAACTATTGTTTCTAATTATGTACTGCTAAAGATTTGCGAAATAATAAGTTATTGCTTCTTTACACCTCTTATAGTCCAGTCAAAATAAACATTTGACTTAGGAATAATTCGCATGGAGCTAAAAATTGGCATAGATGTTAAATACATCATTATAAATAAAATGTCAAAAATCATTTTCGACCCTACTTCTGCAAAACAAAATTCAAGGTCAAACATACAAAATTATGGTTTTTCCATTTTTCTCAAAACGGGTAAGTTTTATCGTGAAAATAAGTCAGAAAAAGTTGTAGACGATACCATTCTCTACAAAAATGGTCCAGTCACTTTTTCTCTCACGACTCACCAATCTTGAGATATCGCGGATTTTTTTTACATAATATGCACACATTTCTGCACCACCTATGAGGTAATGTAATTGGCGGTCTTTTTTCAACGTGGTTGTTGAAAACTGTAATAAAGAAAGTTTGATCAGATCGTAATACAATACGAAAGATACAACAGATGCAAAAAATACAACAGAATGGATGGAGCAAGCTCCAATCTGTTTGTTGTATTTCGTGCATCTGTTGGTACAATACGAAAGATACAACAGATGCAAAAAAATACAACAAAATGAAGCAAGCTCCAATATTGAAAAAAATACAACAGATGAATTGTCAGACAGTTGACATTGCATACTGGCGAACAAAATAATCCCACTTTATGACAGCCACAATTTTTACTACAATCGTCAGTTTTTCTCCAGCAGGCGGGAGTAGAGTTTGAATTGGCTCCAAATAATTATCTGTTAATATCCAACCCCATCCTTCTGGGTCCAGTTCATTGCCTAGCCACACTTGAACTTGATACAACACAATACACACAATACAAGTGTTGAAAGGCAGAACCAGATGATGGAGGCAATACCACTGTACTGTTTTATTGTTCCATGCAGATTTATATCCCATAGTAGGCCTCAGAAAGATATTATAACAGTTATTGTAGTACTTAGCTTCAGCAGCAACTATAAAAGTCATACTCATTATGTAAAATATGAATTTTCTAATTATTAAAACACCGATATCCCACGAACGGATTTGACGACCTCCGTGGCCGAGTGGTTTGAACGCCGGGTTTCATGGTGTCGCCGACTCGTGAGGTTAGAATCCCGCTGAGGGCAGTTGTTTGTGTGATGAATACGAGCATTTGTACTCCAGTCATGGATGTTTATTATGTATTTATATTAATAATATATTTATATATGTACAGTATATGTATTCTATCCGTTACCCTAGCATCCGATAACACAAGCCTTACAGTGCTTACTTTGGGGCTAGGCTAATTGGTGTGAGTCTTGGAAATGTTTATTTATTCTATTTTATTTTAAAATTATAACGCAATCTGTAAGAACGTAAATGAAAATAATAAAAAACCTAGTTATAAAGCATCATATAACTTATTACCTATCTACATAATATTATATATTAATAAGAATGCATAATACCGTAACACCTACTACTACACTACTTGTTGTTGATAATATTTATTTTATATTTAATGGTGAGTCGTGAGTGAAAAAGTGACAAGTGACATTTTTATAGAGAATTGTATGATCTACAACTTTTGTTTGACCTATTTTCACGATAAAACTTATCGTTTTCGAGAAAAATGGATAAATCCTTAAACTGTATGTTTGACCTTGAATTTTTTGCAGAAGTAGGATCTAAGGGGATTCCGTCCGGACATTGAGTCACTTTAAGCTATAAATACGGTGTTCTATGTTCGTAATGATATTATTCGTGTATGATAGTGAAATGATTGAATATTTACGCAGAGAATGATAGTGAAATGGTTGAATATGTACGCAGTGAATGATAGTGAAATGGTTGAATATGTACGCACCGTGCCAAAAGCGCCCTCTGCCAGTTTCGATATCATGCGCAGGCGATGACGCGGGAACTCTGCCACGCTGGCGGTTTGTAACCGCCGCTGCAGCTCTGATACGGCCTCCTGCTGACTCGCCGACTGGTCGAAATATAAAAATATCAATAAATACACGTCCGGACATATCACACAGTGTTATAAATTACAAAGGTCAGTAGCAAAAATATAATAAAGTAGGGCTGAGCAATAATAATAATATATTTTAAAAAAACACACACGAAAAAGATTAGTAAATTAGCTCCAAAACTGCGCAGAACACATTTGTTCAATGTAACATTTATTTTTAGCTAGGGACCGTCGAAATCAAATAGGTTGAATAATAGTGGGCCGATAAATGTGTCCTGGAGTACATAACGCAGCTATATAGTCGCAGTATAGTCGCATTCGGTCTGAAATCGTGGAAGTTAAGCAACTTTCGCAATGGTCGACCATTGGACGGGAGACCAAAAACTTATTATCTGGAACTTAACCATCTTTCGGAAGGTACATTGAGCCGTTGGTCCCTGCTCCGGGCGCGGAATAGCGGCCCAGCGAGGCGGCGGGCGGCGGGGGCTCACTGTATGAACGATCACTTTATTGCACACCATGAAATTTTAAATTACAATAAATTAAGACTAATACATAATAGTACAAACGGCGGCCTTATCGCTAAGAAATATTCCAGGCAACCGTATGTTAACTGGACTGTTATATAGAGAGTGGGAAGTAGATGGTGTCATTTAAAGTGAAACTGCCAATAAAAATACTTATAAATAATTATGTACAACAAGAAATAAAATTAAAGCCGCACAGCCCCGGTCGCGGAGCAGCGGTTTAGCGAGTCGGCGGGCGGCAGGGGCAGGGGTTCGCTGCCCGCGCGACAAGACAACAGCAGCTCTAAAAAAGTGTGCAGCGGGCGAGGCTAGCGTGCGGATGTGCATCTGAATTGAGTGATCCTTGTTTAGTTTTCAATAAAACCAAAACGTACATTTAGTATAAAATTGTCAAAACTCATAACCGAAATAAAAAAATTTGTCACTCTCAGGCGATCGAAGATATTGTCCAAAATGTGGATCACTCAATTCAGACATTAGGCAAAATAGTATACACTGAATGTCAGAAAATTTAACGATGTGAACGAAATTTTGGTATTAAAAAATTTTACAGTTTTGTCACATTATTTTACAAAAAATCAAGTTTCTTCAACGTAAATCCAGGAATCTATAATAGTTTCATTGGATCACTCAATCCTGATGCATTTAGATTGAGTGATCCTAGAAATACGGCGCTATGTTTACGAAGAGCATAATATTTTTTTGTCACCTTGAAGGTAACTTTTGGAAATATCTGTACAAATTAATAACACAACACAAATGCTTATAGTTAAAAAGTTATGATCAATCAAACCTTTTTTAATTTGCTGAACTGAGTGATCCTTATAAACGCATGTAGATAACTACCTCTTGGTATAAAGTATACACAAAATACGTTGAAAATTTGTACAATATTTTGACTAAAATTTGGCATATAATTTATTCGAATACGTCATTTCATTCGCGAATTTTCGTTTTTATTTTATTGTCAAAAGAAAAGACCAGTAGGGTAACCATAATACGATTTTATTGGAAAATTAAAGGCTACATACATAAACATTTTTCTTATTAATTACAATTATAAATCGCAAAAATGCGTATGTAAGTACATGTAAAAAATGTTTTCCTTCTTTAAAGTACAGGTGATTTTTTTTTAAATCATACATGTCGACGTCAAAAGTAAACGAACAACTTTCATTGGCTACAACGGTGTTTGGACTATTACATAAATAGTCGATGTTAATGTTGTAGGAGTAGAAATTCCAGAAGTATCTTCTGTTTGTTGCTCTTCATCTACATCAATTGCTCTTAAATTAGCAGAATTGAAGTTTCTTTTAAAAGACAAATATCTATCTCTTGTGACATTTTAGAATCTAATTCTTGAGATATTTAGAAAAAATCGGATGGTTACATTTAATATCTGGATTTCTCAAAATTTCGGCATAATTATTAAATACATGTATTTGTTTATTCAAATCTATTAATGATTTCCGACCCCGTTTCATAATTCAAGCGTCTATAACAATAATTAGGGTGCTTGGTCAGTTTTATTTTAAAACAGCAGAAATTGTGACATCAAAAGGTATTTTTTGCAGTTATCAACAGTTATCTTGTTTATCGACGCTTAACACGAGGGTTGTAATCACCACTTTTTTCAAAATTTAATACTCTGAATACACAGATCGGTAGAGAAAATAAAATGGGATAAGACTGCATTTAAAAGTCATTTTGGCCAAAATGAGATACGCCATTTGAAATTGAAGATATCGATATAAGCAAATGTAATAATATCATTAATATTAGAACGACATACTTACATTGTTGTACAGAACAGGAAAATCACTATCCCGCTGCACTATACTGTCTCCAACTTAGAACTAAATGAAAAATGATACGCAATAATACAGAAATTAGCCTAAATGACGGTAAAAGAAAAAAATGTCCGTCAAACGCCAAAGTTGACATCTACCCTACACTACTTCATGCTGTAATAAAAAATTCAAAACGAAAATCTCGCGAATGATATGACGTATTAAAATAAATTATATGCCAAATTTTAGTCAAAATAATGTACAAAGGACATCGACGAATTCGGCCCTAGCATGCCCAAAAGAATGTCCTTCACTATTATTTTTCTATTATTTTTTTAACTTATTAGCAATTAATCATAGTAAACGGACAATCTGTTTAAAAAATAAAAGTTCTCTTACTAGATACTACAGTCTGTTCATCCAACTTGGCACTCCTTTTTATTGAAAATACAGCATTAAAAATCAACTGATAACTGGATTCAATAGGTTTCAGTCTATAATAACGATTTATTTTAATAGTTTATTTTCTTCGTTAATATTTTATTATTAAATGGGTGATTCTGTTAAAAAGTTGTGCCAAGATTGTTTACCTTAGTTATGCAATATAGGCGACCATAGGTATTTATCAACATAAAAATAGAACTAGGTACCTTAGTTAATAATACTTATTACTAGTATTTATATTATATTTATAAAAAGATTATTTCTGAAATTATCTAAAGATAGTTTATACTCCCATCCCATGTAATATTTGTTTATTTTTATGAAAATCGTAATGGTAACCAGGTACATACCTAATTACCGTTAGTAAAATATAGAAACAGGTAAATGGAAAGACTGAACATTTCATTTGAAAAGAAATCTATCATTACTTACTACAGGTAAAATCAATAAGAATATAAGCATTTATTATTTTTATTATAAATTGCATTTTATGTTCATTTAATGCATATTATTTAAGTGCTTACATAGAGGTAAACACTAAATTTATTCAGAATATATAAAGTGTACATCTTTTATGATTAAGTATAATAATTATAACCTCAAAATCTAATACATTCTGTAGTAGGCCACGGTTCCTCAAGTTGTCCGTATCTCAACAAATGCTTATTTAGAGTTTATGAATGATTCCGAACACAACTAGCATTTTCTCATTGCTGGGCGTTCTAGGGCATTCAATGTATGGGGAACGAGCAATGTCCTTTTCAATGTATTTTGTGTATACTTTATACCAAGAGGTCTACATGCGTTTATAAGGATCACTCAGTTCAGCAACATAAAAAAGGTTCGATTGGTCATAACTTTTAAACTATAAGCATTTGTGGTGTATTATTAATTTGTACAGATATTTCCAAAAGGTACCTTCAAGGTTCTTCAACATAACGTCGTATTTCTAGGATCACACAATCTAAATGCGCCAGGATTGAGTGATCCAATGAAACTATCATAGATTGCTGGATTTACGTTAAAGTAACTTGATTTTATGTAAAGTAATGTGACAAATTCTGTACAATTTTTTAATATCAAAATTTCGTTCACAGCGTTAAAGTTTTCTGGGATTCAGCGTATACTATTTTGCCTAATGTCTGAATTGAGTGATCCACATTTTGGGCAATATCTTCGAACACCTGAGAGTGACAAATTTTTTGATTTCGGTTATGAGTTTTTACAATTTTATACTAAATGTACGTTTTGGTTTTATTGAAAACTAAACAAGGATCACTCAATTCAGATGCACTTAGCGTGCGGGGGACACTGACCCGGGGCGGGGGCGGCGGTGGCGGCGGCGCGGCGCGCACAGCCCCGGGCGCGGAGCAGCGGCCCAGCGAGTCGGCGGGCGGCGGGGGCGGGGGCTCGCTGCCCGCGCGACGAGACAACAGCGGCTCAGAGCTCACCTCCGGCACCGCGTACTCGTAGTTACTGCTGTCTGCAACGACAATACAACCATTAGATTTTCGATTCGAACTCAATGGCGGCTGTGAAGTAAGCGCAAGACGCGGAGCAGTAGAGGAAGTGCATTACATACATTGCACTATTATGACTATGTGTGATCAAGGTGCGTGCGGGATGTCACTAAACTGAAACCTGAGCATTTTTGTGCTCGCTGCTAACAGGAAAAGGATACTATACAGGGCTTAAGCAATATACTCAAATCAATATTTACATACCCGATAGCGCAGTATTGGAATCCTTCACAAAGTCTTTCATTTCAAGCAAGACCGTGCTGTATCCGAAGTACGGCGCACACTTGAGGGGCTGATACGGTTCCTGGTAATCGTCGCATTTCACTTCCGGTTTATCCGGCGCCGGTCGCGGCTCATGCCGGGCCAAGGGCGACGCGAAGCATTTCCGATGCCTGTGCCGGTGAACTGCCAATGATACGGCAACCAGTAATAATATCACTAGCGCTGTCAGTACGCCGACCACTATGGCCAAGTATAGCGGATCTTCTTGGCGAGCTGTGGAGACTGGCGCCTCTTTGCTGGTTGGTGCTTTCGTCCTGTCCTTGCCTAGAGGTTTCAGGCTTTCTGCCGAGTAGTTTCCTTGGGCGACGTCTGTAACAAGCCATATAGATTAATGCGATGAGAAATTGGTATTAAACGTCATGTATCAAACAACATCTATTCTGTCTACCTGCGACTGTTCTAGCGCGCAGTTTCTATAATTATGCAAAATACAAATATAGAAACGATTACTGCAAAATGTAAGCCGCATTTTCGATGGTCGTGTAAAAAGTACATTAAAAATAGTAATACGGCCAATTCCTATAAAAATACCGAGTACCGAACACACGCGCGGTTGATTTTTATTTTTATCCGTTAAAGTAGGTCAATAAAATCAACAACAAATTCACGTTTGACTGTGCTGAATATTAATTTGAGAGAACTAGTATTATCTCAAGAGGTGTGCAGTCCCACTCCACTCCCGATGAACCTTCGAAATTTAGTTATTTTTTATCTCTGTTGTGCGAGCCCCGGGGGTCACAGTTCCGCCTTCTCTGTTTTAAATCCGGCCCTGCTGCGGAGCTATAACTCTCTCTCTCTCTATCTAGTAAGTTGTTTGTATCATGCAAGTATCACTCAGTCCATATTCGTATCTACATATAATATAGATAGAGGGAAAACTAAAATTCATTATTAAAGGGAGTCCCTTTAAGCAAGGTTCCGAAGATACTGGCAGCGTTCCCCCTTTGAATAGCTAGACTAATTCTTTATCCGAGGTAGCTGCCAGCTCTTTGGTCTCCTGTGATGTCGACTAACCTTTATGCTCTTTTTTTTAAGGTTTTTAGTTATAAATATCTTACTATTTGTTCTTTAGTTAAAACTTAAGTTTGTACATATCAAAACATTACAGAAATATAGTTCGTGGCAACTTATTTTAAATGCATGTAAAAAATTAATTATAATATTTGATAGAGGGAACAGAGAGCAACTGACCGCTATCAAAGACGACCTCGCTGATGAGTATCCACCTTGCGGCGAACCGCAGCTGTATGCGCACCCAGCGGCCGATGCGGTGGTGCAGCTTGATGCTCACGTTGCGGCTGCTCTCGAAGATGTGGTCCGGCTCGGGCGTGTAGTGGATCGCGTCCTCCTGGTAGTGCTGCCCCCCCACTGAGAACGAGATTATCGCCTCGGAGAACACCTGAGGAACGAGAAAAGTTCTTTTTCTAGCTATTTAATACAGAGAGTTACAGATTGGCTTTAGAAGGGCTTTGCTATTAAGTGATAATGAAACTTGATTACGGTTAAGGTTTATGTTTGTATTTTATAATAAGCATTTAACTAATAGATTTATAAATTTAAAGTAATATTACTAGAATAAAAATACACATGGTTAGTGCATCCGCCCGGAGAGCGGAGGGTACAGATTCAAGTCAATTCAATTCAATATTCTTCATTCATTTATTTTGTCTCAAATTTTTGAGTTGAGTATGACTGTAACTGTTTTTTTAATTAATGTATAAAATATGTAATCTTATTAAGTTGGGTGTCAAAATGTTGGCGTACCAAATAAACACACAAATAAAAATGTATCATCGTTCTTTTTTTCTTTAATTTACTACGCGGTCTTTTTTATTTTATAAAGTTTTTGGGGCTATGCAGTGTTTGCAGTCCTTATGGAACTGTAGTCACTGCAACCTAAAAGATCTATTGTGACTCGCGAAAATATCTCTTTTAGCCCGACAGCTTCTAAGAAGCAAGAAGAAGCTTCCAAAACTTTTAGAGATTGGAGTTTTTAGCTTTTAGAGATTTGATTTCCTCAGGGCGTATTATATGTTGAATACTACGTTTGTGGATAAGAGGCCCACATTCAAATAGAAGATATTTTGGTATTTCACGCTCCTAATTGCAGTATCTACAAACATCAGTGCAAATTAATTTCATATGAAATAGGTGTGTGTTAAGTTTGCAGAGTCCAATTAAGGCTCTTACAATAAGCACGGTTGTTCATCTTGCTAAGTTCTATTAACTCCGCAGCCTGTTTTTGCGAGTTATTTGCTATTAGTGATTTAGCGTTATCTTATCCTGATTAGTTTTTGACTCAGAAGGTATTTCTTAAGATTTTGCATCGCATGGTTTCTAGGGATGCCACTGAAATGTTCTGGTCCTATCTGTTGCCCCTGTGCCCCTTGCTAATTCATCAGCTTTTTCATTGCCGATTATCCCTGAAAAAACTGTTAAAATTTTGAGAATAACTTTATTCTTTTGACCCAGTTTCGAGCATATCATGTTGGAGTTGATGGCGTTGAGGGCTGCTTCGCTATATGAAAAATATATATGGCCTGGTTTGTGTGGTTTGTGTAACATATACCTCTGTCATCTGTATCTGTCTGTATCATTTTAAAACCATATTTTTGTTTCTATAGATGACGTCAATAAGCATGTGTAAAGGCCTTGTTTGAATAGATAATTTCTGATTCTAATTCAGTCTGGAATATAGTTTTCCAAGACTGTCACTTATCTATCTTTCGCCGTATTTTTAGAAAACTTAGAAATACATCCTAAATTTTCAAAATTATAAGAATTGAAATTGCTAACTACACATCGTTTCAAAAATTATTTGCAATTATGATTAACCTACGTGGATACACGTGTGTGGATAAAGATTATTAAGTGACTCTCTATTTCTCATTGTTTTTATACGAGCACACATGCCATAATATGTTTGGGCACGTGCGCGTATGTTTCACGCATCTTGTCGTAATGATTATAAAAGTTGTGTAACAAATTAATACCACTTGTACGACACATGTAGCCTTTTTTAATTACGATGAAAAAATGTTACACATTCTCAAGTTGTGTTTCATTGTTTAAGTAATCAGAGGAAGTAAGTAGTTATCGTTTTAAAATAATTTAAGTAAATTTTGTCATTACAGTAGTGTCGATTCTCTAAAGTTGAAACTAAATTACACATCAGTATCTTCTTTTCATTCTGTATAGAGAATGACAAGGATACACTGTTGCCAAAGCTAAGTTTAGGTTTAGAGATTTATCGACACCAGTCTTCACAAATTCATTAAAAGTAGTGGTCACCTTCTGGCTGAAATTTAAACGTTAAATTATTAAAGTTAAATTTGACTACAACTTTAAACGGCCTCGCTTGGACAGTTATTATAACTGTCAAATTATGATCTCATTTTGACTGTCGTCAAATGGTGCACTCCATTTTTTCCGTTACCGTTACTTTAACTGAACAGTTAAAGTTACAGTAAGTTGGTGCAACTCACAAGCTTAGTTGATCTGTCACAAAGACATTGTTTGAGTGCGTATTTCAAACATATGGTAATTAAATATATAGTTTATTTGATTAAGATAATGACCTTTCAATGCATACATTATTAAAATTTATCATATATTATAGCACTCTTTCACCATATAAACTTTAACTTAAACAAAAATCGCACACTCAGCAAAATGTGCTTAAAAATGTATACTATTAGCTGACATGAACATCATGTATGAAGCTGTTCTTGCAGTGTGTGTGCAAGGTGCTGAACTAGTGCAACCTGTACAACCCGAAGGTAACTCCGGCTGGATGGAGTTGGGCCGCCAGCGGATTCACGCAGTACTTCCCCAATGGCATAAAAGTAATTAAAAAGAGGTACGGAAATTTGTTTATTAGCTCACCTGAACATCCCGCATAAAGCGGTTATTGCAGTGTATGTGCACGGCGCTGAACTCGCGCACTTTGTCGAACTCGAAGGTGATCTCCGGCTGGGTAGAGTCTGGCGAATCGGGCTCAGACGGCGAGTCGGCCCGCCAGCCGACCCAAGCGGGCTGGCGAGCCGCCTCGCGGATGTCGTCGCCGCCGAACCGGCCATCCACCAGCTGGCCGAGCCCGCCGCGCAACCATTCGCCCCACGACCCGTCGTACCAAGCGTCGGACAGCTCCGCACCGTTGCTGCGCTTGTGACCGCGCGGCATAGAATACGATACTATGCCCTCTATAAGATAAATAAATTAGCATTATCAAATTTTATTTCTTGTATGCCATACACGTGTGTGTGTATAATTTTGTTACAAAAAAGTGACTTAATTTTCTATCTGCATTTTATAATAAAGTCATTTATTTATTGTTTACATTCTTAATTGTTGATTCATCTCAATAATATATGTTATACCCAGGTAAGTACTCTTTTCCAAAGCTCCGAGTTGGAGTCAAGCAGGCATGTACATTGTATCAGCTATCTTTGCAAATGGACTTCACTGGATAATCCGAAATTACCACATATCCGTAGTCTTTTTTAATTATTTTATCTCCTAAGAGGTACCTAGTACCAAAGAAAAAAAAGATGGGCAAATAATACTAGTCGCATTCACACACAAAGTATTCCTTATCACCATTAAAAGGTTTAATATACTGTAAACAGCAATAATAAGCATTTAGTAATGTTACTTCCTGGAAATAGAAACATAAAAATGTATAATTCAACATTACTTATTAGTTTTATTCTAATATTTATTCTTTATAACTTTTATATCTTCTATAAATATTTCAAGATATTAGAGTGAGAGTTGCACAAACTTACTTTAACTGTTCGGTTAAAGTACCGGATAAGTTACAAAATGGGTTGCACCATTAGAAGAAGTTTTAAGAATTTCGTAATTTGACAGTAATAATTTACTGTCCAAACGAGACCAGTTAAAGTTATTAGTAAAATTTACTATAACTTTAAATTTAACTAGCTCTGTCGAGCAACTCACACTAAAATATATCAGACGGGATTCGAAACTATATGCCTTAGCTATGCGGACAACTTCAAACTTAGTTTGTAAATATATTTCAAAATTTCTATTAAATGTTATATTACGGCGATAGGTGTTTAAGCTATAAATACCATTAGGGGGCTGAACTATTGTATAGCGAGAGGCACGTGGTTTACGTGTTAAGTTTTATTAGCAGAAATGCGTGCGTCAGATTATTTATATTCCGCGCAGAAGGCACCTGCTTTATGGCAGCTCCTAAGCGTGTTTCAGCTTTTCTCAAACAAGGACTGACGCATGCTTTGACGATTATAAGTGTACTTATATGGCTGCTATGTAATGCTATGCTATGCCCTTCACATGGCTATTTTGCTATATGTACATTTGACAGATGTATGTATATCCTTATCATGTTTTTTATGAAAATAAAAGGAAATACTGTTGTCAAATTATCAAATTAAATATTAATATGACTTGCCAACAAAGCGGTTAATTAGTAAAATGACATTCTTTCATACCAGGGCCTGATTAAGAGTTCTGACCACCCTAGGCTAACTATGAATATGCTCCCCTCTGCCTGTCCTATTCTACCTTTCATTCACTTACAGATACAACTAATTAAATTACAAGTACAGAAGAGAGCTTACGTAAACTAACATCATTGAATCAAACTGTCAGTGAGTAGGTTAACGGAAAACGAAAGGAAGCAAACCAATCCAACATCAGGTTACAGAACATTGTTCTAAAATCTGAGATTCCAACACATATTTTAACTATTTATTTAGTATTAAAAATATAAAGGAAGAAATGAAAAAAGAAAAAGATCCTTCCTTTAATTACCATTATACTTTAAAAGCCCATGACAATAAAAGTATGCTTAAATTCCCAGATGATATACTTATACAATTAGACGCGTCATTAACAGGAGAACACAAAATGAAGATGCTGCAATGACTTGGCTATTAACAAAATAAAATTAAGAAACTAATAAAAAACTGTTTCTAGTATGATCTGATGATGATGTTTCGTTTCTTACTCGATATCCCCTATATCGAGGGGTAGGAATAGACGAAAATGCATTGCTGCAAGTCCTTGTGACTGGCCTTATTAGTGGCAGCAGCATGAGAAGAGCCCCCAAAAATGAGGTAAGTATCTAGTATGATCGAAATCCTGAAAAAACCAATGCTCATAAATTTTTGTGTAATGAAAACCACTGCTGCAATTTCCAAACACTGGAGAAAGTCCACGCAGTTCAATTTGGTTGTTTTAATTCAGTTTTGTCACCAATCGCCTGGTTAATTGTGTACTGATTTAATACGCATGGAAGTAAAATTTTATCTTTATTTCATTAAAATTTATGCACTCTATCAAAATTTATTACAATTTAAAGCCTCGCAGGCGTACGTAAATGTAATTACTTACATATAAAAAATTACTATCAGTAGTGATATTAGATGGCGCTCATTTATTTCTTACATTTCAGGTCGCAGTGAAATATGTAATACTCAATACATAATCAAGACACCTGACGGTTACAGCTAGGTATATAACTTCCTTGCATTACACAGATTTATTTGGAATGTCGCATGATGTGACGTCTTGGTACCTACATATATAATTTTTATTTAGAAGTTGATTTGAAGATGTCGCTATTATAGCTCCTCATTCAAACTTTGACACCCTTTACCTTTGTTATTTTTTTCCAAATTTATGTAAGACCAACTTTGAGCTCTAATAGCCTATTCAATAAAAAAAATAATCATCAAAATCAGACTAGTCTAGCCCGTATACTCCAATATTTACACTGGAATACATACGGGCTGGAAGACGGTGTCTGAAACCCAAAACGAAAACTACTCGAATACGGGCGTACTCGACTCCGTTTATTTGCACTTAGTCTTTTGTCCGAATTCCATTGACTGATTTGCTCCATTCGTGCTAACGGCCAAGTGTAATTGAGCCATAAAGGGTACGAGATGCTTAGTTGGTATTGGAATTACCTACCTAGTGAATTCAATTCAATTCAAGTGAGTGGACTAAGAGGACTTTGATTGGTTTTTATTTGGCTACATTTTTATAATGTCCGTCTACCCTCCCTTGGCAACGCCCTTGATGTAAGTCTCAGTTCAGCACTATGCCAGCCAGCCGCCCCCCTTGTCCTTGTGCCCTAGGCTCCAGCCTTATTATCCTGTGGGTAAATCAGGCCCTGTTTCATACTAATGTAAAAAGCTTGTCACTGGAGCCAAATCGCAAAAAAAAGTTACAAGTTATGGCTAATTGATAAACCCTTTAATAGTTCTGAGCCTTACCATAAAAATGACTGAGTAATATTTTATTTAATATTGAATGATTCATATTTTATTAATTATTATGTTTGTATGGTATGGAATTGATATTTTATTTTATATAATTAATTATATTTTATGTATCAATAATGTGTAATTATTTGAAGTAAGTATAAACTAATTAATTACTAAAATAGATTATAATGTACTAGCGGCCGCCCGCGACTTCGTTCACGTTAACTTTACTTTTTTGAGAATTCTACAGGAACCTAACAGTTTTCTAGGATCAAAAGTCTCTTAAGCTATATGCGTATCAAATTTCATCCAAATCCTTGTAATAGTTTTTGCGTGATTGAGTTACAAACACACAAAGATACCAACTTTAACATTTATAATATTAGTGGAAAGAAGAATTCTCAATGTAGAAAATACTGAGTTGTCATAGTAATCTACACTAACTCAATAAAATTTTGCGTTTGAAGACAGCACTGCGTCTTATACCGAGTTTCAATAATCAAACTTCAGTAATTGGTAGGAGTAGTTCTAGAGATTTGTTGCCAAGATATTTCTATGATTAAAATCATAATGAGAACTGTTGCTAATTAACAGAACCAGATTATCCTTACCTATATTTTTTCCACCGATTGCTAAGAATGTGACAGTATCAATCAGCATCATACTTTAATCAAACTTAAAAAAAGGAATTCATTTCGTTTATCTTCAACAACTGCCTACTTAATTCCTAACTAACCTGAGGCTAGCTCTTATCTGTACTAACTATAGAATACACATACATAGCGACCTATAATTATCATATTTTATATAATCAATTTTCTTAACTCATAAACAAACTTTTGTAAGTACATCAACAACTTGACAAAAACGGAAACCAAAAAGGATCCTTTATTAGTACTAGTTAAGATAGAATACGAATACATAGATACTTATATAAACGTCACACGTCGCAGCTCTCGTTCGTTGAGATGGCGTCTTTAAATATTTAACCATCAGGAGGGGCTGTGAATTTTTGACACGGTCTAGTCTAGTCGAGCTCACAAACCTAACCTTACTGATCGCGTGTTACGCTAACTCATATATTTTTTTTAATGAGACTTTATGTCGTTATTTGTTACCTATATGTTTAACTCGTGACCAAACACATATTAAATAGACTGACCGTTCCCTATAGGTAAAGCTTTTAAGTAAATCTGGTGAAATAAGTTAGAATCGAAGCTATCGGACGGTCAACTTTTCGTATATGTATTGGCAGATTTTCCTTGCTTTCTATCAATGGCCACTTACGAGAAAGATAATAAAAAAATAATATCTACAACTCGTTCGTGCTTTGAGAGGCACGTTTTTTCGTTAATCCCTGCATAAGATCTGCAGTTGTTAGCATTAACCAGTTTATGGCCGATTCTCTTTTTTTCTTATAAATTCTTATGTCCGACAAATAACTCCACCCCACCTGATGTTAAATGACGATGGAGTCCAGACGCAAATTCTTAATCCGATCAAAGCAGTGAGGACATTAACAGATTGGTCGTGAAGAAGCGCTGAATGACCCAGTGGTGAAACTGAAGCAGACATTTTTTCCCTTAGCACGAACCATTATCGAATTCGAATAGTTTGCGAGTCCGTTATGTCATTGTTATGTTTTGTATGGAAACTTGAACAGCAGCACCATAACGGACGTAACGAGAACTAAAAATCAGTACACATTTGACAATGACATTTCGCACTCCCAAACTATTTGAATTCGATATTGATTCGTGCTAAGGGTACTGTACTATAAGACGTTACTTCGTACCAAATTTCAAGATTCTAAGTTCACGGGAAGTACGCTGTTGGTTTTGATTCCCGTGCGAGTGTCGAAAATTTGCGGAAAGGACAATAATGTATGGACGCTGCACCCACGTCCGCCACGACTTAAACTACATTTGTTTCAAAGGTATTATAGTCATGATCATCTATGCCAAAGCGCATCAAATTCCATCCCGGGGGGTCTTTAGTTATTTTAAGTTAAATAGGTACAAGTATTATAACGAGCGAACATTAATGAAACAAGGGAATTCATTTAGTTAGTTAGATCGACCATACATAGAGGGCTCGAGTATTAGAGAGTACTTCACAAGGTGCAAGGGTGCCCCCCTATGTTATTCTGCCGTGCTAAAGTAAATCCAAAAATCCTCGCATAGGTTAGAGTTTTTTCAAACAGTTCGTTATAGTAAATTGTCTACTGTGTAAAACGGAGCGACCACAAATCACACAAACTTGTCCACGCTTCGGTGAATACATGATTCCAGTTCATCCATACTAATTGACAAAACCAATAATCGTGTTCCAATGTCCAAAGCGTGTTAGATAAAAATCAATCAAGTGACAGGGAGCCCACTATCACAACGAAGTAAGACGAGTCGACTATTTGCAACTGCAAGTCCTTCAACCCCCGTAAACCGTTTTGTGGTGGCTCAGTAAGTGCGAGCGCAGGATGGTCGGCAGGCTTTGTCGTATATCTAGTTGTATAGTTCGATATGACATATTATTATGGTTTCTAATAATATAAAATGAAGGTGCTATAAAATAATAGTACATTACGATATGCGTGACCTAAGTTGCCTAGTGTTTTGTGATGAATTGCAATACAGACTGCAAGTCAAACTCTGAAAAGAAAGAATTCCGGTTCAGATTACCATTTTGAAAGTATATTTCAAAAGGAAAAAATCAAATATCATTACAACAAAATAGAATTTCAATGTATCCATGAACGTTTATTCCTTGATTGGCATAGTAAGTTAAGTTACGCGTATCGTAATGTACTAATTCTACATGAGTGAAGTTGGTCAATTCATTTACACGCCGTGCAGAAATAGGCAACTTAGGTCACGGAAAAGCGCGGGTTTGGGTCACACTGTGCTATAAATTTATTTAGCTACTTAAATATGCCCATGTGCCATATCTTTTGACTACCAAGATATTTTTAACGGTGTCATATCTTTTGATTATCGGGATATTTTTTTACATTGTCATAATAAAAAAATGCCAGTTTTTCATAGATCTATCGATTCATACTAATCACATTGTTGGCGGATCTGGGTGTGTTTTGCCCATTGTCCTTTGCGGCATAAACGGCTGTATGTTTTGATTGCTTTGGCTTAGAAGTTTAATTTTTTTCACAGCTCCAAGGGACAGTAGACCTGAGTATTAAAAACACAGAAACTATATTTAAAATAATAAGATAAACATTATAAGATGCACACACACTCACAAACACTAATAACAAACTCCTTTGGCTATTTCATTGAATTTATAACTTAAGAAAAGTTATGATTTTATTTATTTTTAAGCATTTAACTGCTAGATGTTTAAATCTAAAGAAAAGTTTACTAGAAAAAAGCAACATCTAGCAGTTAAATGCTTAAAAATAAATAAAATCATAACTATAATTGCTATTTCTTCTTTCAAATGTTTAATACTTGAAAAAGTATTCATTTGACATTGTGGGTTACCTACAATGCGAAGAGATGGCGCTGCCTTGCAGCTTAAGGCTAGGAAAATTTCGACGCGGCTAATAGGGCCGTGGTAGCATAATGGTCAGTGCATTAGACCGGATTGCGAAGGGTGAGGGTTCGAGTCCCGTCCGCTGCCTGGTCCGCGTGGATTTTTTTCTAGTAAACTTTTCTTAAGAAAAGTTAGCTGGATTAAGAAACTGTTTACTAAATGGTACACAACTTTATGAATAGGGTGGAGGGTTGATTACGTGAGACACAGGATTAATCTTAGTTCAGGTGTCAACCCACCATAATCTGAACAATACATACCTTTTATTTTTGGTAAACAAAATTGCATGTTTTTATATCATTGTTTTTATGTAGCCAACATTGTGATTATGGTGAGAAATAAAGGTTCTTATTATTTTATATTATTAGATATGAATTTTAGTTTGATATCTCCACGCGTTCCTGAGAAAAACGGTCTTGACACACGGATGGACGGACGGATGGACGGACGGACGGACGGACAACAAAGTGATCCTTTAAGGGTTCCGTGTTTTCCTTTTGAGGTACGGAACCCTATAAACAACCTTATTAAAATCACAAGTAACATTAAAGTATTCGCCCTATAGAAAGGCATTGTATATAAGTACTGTATACCTTTCATTCTTCTTCTTCACTTTCTCTTTGGCCCAAGTGTAGACACAGTTTCCGGCTAACCTTGGCTATTTTATTTTAGGCGCACTCCCACCCGCCAGGTACACCTTCCAACTTCTAATTGGCTACAGGTTGAAATGGGACATTAAACTAATATACAAAATCCGAAGTAAGCATGTTTGTTTGTTCACCGGATAAGCCGAAACGGCTGAATAATGGATGTCAGCGAAATTTTATGGACAGTAAAAATATGCTGTGAATATATTGGCAAAATGTCATGCTATATATCCTACAATATAATTTGACGTTGAGTTCGACGGCAGAATTGTATATTACATCAATGTTTTGCTATACGCAAGATTCTTATAATTGCTTTATTTAAAAGACCTAATCCTTACAGGATATGGATACTGAAATATTTAGAATCTCTTTCTTTTCAAAATCGGTTAACAAACCTTTTTTATATATAGGTCCGAAGAAATGACTCTACCCTACCTGATGTGAAGGGACTGTGAAGAATCCAGACGCCAAAATAGCTCGTGCAACAGTTTTACCTGCCACAGTGATTTAGTGAAAGTAATCTTTACATACGTCAAATACTTGTTATTTCGGGGTATTAAATATCGATTGGATGTGAGATATAAAAGCGACTCATTAAAATTATCGATTTCAATTTCGGGCTCACATCGCGCTTTGTATAGATTTCCGACTCCCACAAGAGCCCAAAAACAAATTCCCCAATTTTCCCAGAACCGAAACCGAGTCTTTTGAGCGAATAAAGTCGTTGGAAAAGCAATGGCAACACAGCAATCTTATATTAATTTTCGACTCCAGTGATTTTACCTCGATTTGACCTTTAATTAACAAGATTTCGTGCCGCATCACACACGATTCACACAGCTATATGCTTATAGGCCGTGGCCGTCTACAGACCCAACACAAAATAAATTCTATATTAGAATGTAGCGCTCTCGGCCAGCGTATAGCTATAGATCGTTAGTTCCATAGATATAGGATGTTAGTTCCGATTTAAATGGGTAAGATCGTGCACTGCGTTAAGCGGGGCACGCAGCGGGCGTCCGCTCGGCGTGTTTGTTTCATAATATTTCATAGAGCAGTGTTGCATGAGGCCGAAGGCGGGTCAACCGCGCGGCGGGTCTCTATGAAATGATATAAAAACTGTGCCCCGCTTAAGGCAGCAGGCTCTTCTAATTCCAAGTGCTGGTTGTCATAACCGTCTCAACGATGGCCACTATGACTCGGCGGCATTTATCACAGTTTGATAACGGCCGGCGCTACAAGACCATTAATCTAATTAGCTTAATTAGGAGACGTTCGGCGTGTTTCCGTTGCTAGCTAGCTAGTCCCGTTGATACCACTTCACAGATAATTTGATCATAGGAATCTCTGAGCTATTATTTTCCAAGTGACGTTTTGAGTTCCTCTATTATGTAATGAGCAGAAAAATGTAGAAAGCAGATGTTTTCTACCGTTATGTGAAATTAACTAAGAAAGAAAATTACGTATTAAGATTAACATAAATATGTAGTTTCATTTCCGCACTATTTACTAGTTCACCGTACAACAAAAAATTCAGCTGCAGCGTGAATAATCAACAAACAGACAAAGTTACTTTAAAAAGAACCGTTAGACCTGTATAACCTGTATAACACCCCCCATATGATGATTGTTCATGCACAAGGACTAGCAGATTATATCTGGTGATGTTGAATGTGAGTGGAGTCCATTTGCAATCATTGCTCATACGAATCAGAATCTTGCCGGCTCGAAAATCAATAAAGAGGTACCTTGTAATGAGCAGATCTTTACTTTACATCAATTTCGAATTGATGTCAAGTAAAGATCCTGCTAATGATTTTCTGTTGTGAATTTGTTAACAATAAAAACACATTATAAAACTTTCGGCCGCCTGCGACTTCGTCCGCGTTAACTTTGTTTTTTTTTGAGAATCCCACAGGATCCTCAAAATTTTCTGGTATAATAAGTACCTATCCCTATGTGTCAATCCAAGCCATAAACTATATGCGTACCAAATTTCATTGAAATCCGTTCAGAAATTTTTGCGTGATTGAGTAACAAACATAGAAACTTTTACATTTATAATATTATAACACAAGTTCGACAAATCACAACATCGTGATTTGTCGTACTTGTCGCGTCAGAAAGCTATCGGTTTCATACATTTTGTACGGTTAGAGTGAGTACGATGTAGACACATCGCGACACACAAATATGGCTCTAACCGAAGTAAATGTATGAAACCGATACCTCCCTAAGGGGTCACAGCACAACATGACAGATAAGTGTAGTTCTGTCATAAGTCTCACCAGTCCACGGGCAGCCGTACACCTCGACGCGCATACACACGGTGCGCCGATGTGCGCTGTACGGGATGAAGCGCACGCGTGACGCCCATATAGGCGGCTCCAGGTGGTTCTTCTTCTCCAAATACGTGTTCGTGTTACCCGACAGATTCTGAGTTTATAAAAAACAGTTCATTTAGCACGAACCATTATCGAATTCGAATATTGGAATTCGATTTCCTTAGGCGTCAATGTCAAGAAGTTTTGTATGGAAACTTGAACAGCGTGATTTAAAAATCTTCCATCCTAAACTTCTTGATATTTGACGCGTATCGAGATGGAATTCGATTTTACTGTACGGAACCTCCTGAAGTTGTCGAACGAAGCGAGAATGAGGAACTCGCATTAAATAACACTGATAAAGTGACCACGTCATCGATCAAAGAGCCACGTACAAGGTATTCATTAACGTTACGTATTGCAAAAAAATATTTTAAATGTTTATTTTTTCTAATACCACGTAAAATATAGTATGTAAAAAAGAATTTTCTATTGAAGTCATTGCCAACTACCAAATAACTTTCAAAGGACCAATCGTACACACATCTCCACTTACTTTATGATGAAACTTCTAACTTTAGCTGATATAATTAAATACTTTGAAAATTTTGTTTTTAATCATTTTACGTTGTCCCTTCTATCCTGATGCGCCATATTGGCGACGGACTCACCTCCTGTCCATCAGCGGTGCGGTAACGCACCCATTTGGCGAGCTTGGGCCGCCAGTACTCGAGCACGTAGGCCTCGGCGAACTCGCGGCCTTCGCTGTTGCCGAACCGGCCCTGGGTCCCGACCGCCGTCACCACGTGCACGTTGCGCAGGTCCACCTCCAGCCACTCCGTGGACTCCGTGGTGATCTGCGAGCGCGGACACCACGCGCCGCCTTTTATCTCTTGGTTCAGCCTGCGCGGAAAATGAAAAACAAACGTTATCAGACTTGTGGGTGGCGGCGATTTCATCTGCGTGGAAAATTTGGTTTCCCATATATGTAAAATTCCATACCCCTTTTCACCCCTTTGAAGGGTGATATTTAGGAAAAATACTATTCTATGTCCTTTCCCGGGAAACTTATGACCGGACCAATGTATATGTTTTTAAATCCGATAAATCCTATTCCGAGGACATTACTTACATTCCTTTATAATTTCCATAAAGCAAAACATAGAAAGCGTCAGCAGTCAACTTCATCGCGGAATCGTCTATTGTCATAAGCCAATTAGGACAAATACGGTAAATATGAAATTTAATATTTAAATATAAATAAATAATAAATATTTCCAACACTCACACCAATAGGGAAGATGCAATATTTTTATTTTTGTTTTCATTTTAAAGAATTCCATGTAGAATAAACCACAGATATATTAAAACATTAAAACATTGTGATTTATCGGAAAAAATGCGGTTTTAAATTGACAATTTAAATTTTCGCGCGAAAACGAACCTATGGTTGCGATGACGTCACTCCTGTCTGTCACTGGTCGTAATTGTTCGTTGCTGGGTTTAAATTTTCATACTTTTGCATATTTTTTCGACTTTCGAAATATTTTTTTGAAAAATTTAAAATGGACTATCCATCAACATCATGTGATCATAACAATACCATTAATATTCCGAAAAAAAGTCGTGTTGACTCATGTTTTGTGCCAATCTACTTCAACAAAGTTCCCAAATAAATTGTTTTTGACTGGAACTTCTGACCCAAAACTGAAAAAAAAGTGGTTTCAAGCTGCGAAGAGAAATGACAATTATTCTCCAAAGACCATTATTCGATGCTGAGAAGATCACTTTGACGTAAGTCGGCGAATATACTTGTTATATGCTTAATTAATCTGCTTGTACGTAAAAACGCATTAGTAACCTACCTAATACTTACAAAACCTGTCTATAACATATTTTTAATTTTACAGTTGGAGAATGACGTCGAAAATTAGATAAAGTTTAAAATGTATGGCACAATCTTCACAGTGGCAGGTCTGAACCAAGCTTTGCGTTTCATTTAAAATAACTGTATCACGATAACCTTCTTTACGTACTTTATGCTCCGGAGAACTGGACCTTTTACTGTACATAATTTTCCATCTCTTTTAATTTGGACATAGCCGAATGCATTATCGCCGTAAGATTTGTCGAAGCCACTGAATAAAATACGAAGTTTAACAACTACAATTTTTACATACCGTAGTAATTTAGTCCCTTTCATTTCTACACTTAAAAACTCTGCACTTTGAACAAAAAAAGTTATAACCATGTCAACGCTAACTCTTGGTAAATTCCTGGAGTCTGCTTTGATAAACGCAACTTCCATTTTTATTAAATGTAAAAAAACGCAATAAATATTCCCATAAAATAATATTTACTTTAACAACCATAACCACAAAGAAGTTGTCATAACAGGAGTGACGTCATTAAACGCTGATTGGTGTTTTAAAATACGTTCCGTTTCAAGTATTTTTAATTCGTAATAATTGTTAAAAAACAACATTATGTAAAATAAAAACGTTGCAGTGGCATTTCTTTTATATTTTTTTAACATTATAATCATAAAATTTTCATAAATATTATATATGCATCTTCCCTATTAGCCTAGTCCCAAAGTAAGCACTGTAAGGCTTGTGTTATGGGATGCTAGGGTAACGGATAGAATACATATACAGTACATATATAAGTATATTTATATAGAAATATATATCATATATATTAAACACCCATGACTGGAGTACAAATGCTCGTGTTCATCACACAAACATCTGCCCCCACCAGGATTCGAACACGGGACCTCTCGAGTCGGCGACACCATGAAACCCGGCGTACAAACCACTCGGCCACGGAAGTCGTCAAATATGAAATTTAATTGTCACACACAGACCGTTATATTCTTAGTTTATGATTTTCCTCGTCCCGTGGGCCCACCACGTACCTAAAAACGGGCTTAAATATTCACAAAGCTATGTGTAGAAATATTTTTACACCTGACGACACCGCTTAACATAAAGTTGTTCGGTAAAATAACACAGTTGTTAATCTACAAAGAAATGAAGAATTCATTCTTCAAAAGTCACTCAGCAACGAAAACAAACCACCGAATACCGACCGATCGACACGTTTAAACAGAAACGCCGGACTTGGGACGGTCGTCTATAGAAAAAATACGATTTCAAAATTAAACATTATAGTCCAAGTTCCCGCCGCTCGATTCTGCAGCCATCTGCTTTTTTATGAAACTTAATTTAAATTTATCTTCTAGTGAGTATACTATGCATTAGTGACGGTTTGCATAAAGCAAAATTGTCGCCAATACCTATAAATTATAATGTAGTGACATTCATTTATTTATGGAAATTGCATTCATATGTTTTAATAAATTTTACGTCATCTGAAAGGAAATGATGTGATAAAATCAAAAAACAATGGTGGCCAGTTCTGAATCAGTCGCAACTTAAGGGTTAATTAATTTGCTTATTTATATATATATTATTTTATATATATTATTTTGGCAATCCGTCACTATTGCATAGTGTACTCAGTAATCATTCATTTAATAAAGTTTCAATGAAAAACTAATGGCTGCAAAATTGAGCGGCGGGACCTTGGACTATCAGCTGGGTGCATACTATTCCGGACCACCGAAAAATCATTTTTAGAAACATTTATTTAGAAACTTGAGAAAATATTAGTTTCTATTCTTATTCACTTTTATTTCTTCTTATCACTATTAGAGAATTTCGTTTTATCTAAAAAGTGCTCTTCTTTTTTAAACCGACTTTAAGAAGGAGGAGGTTCAAAATTTATATATTTTTGTTATTGTTGTTTGCGCATATCTTTTTGTGTTGGGTTAGGTTGGTATGGGTTTTTTTAACATTTCAACTTTCACGCTTCGGAAATATTATTTTGTCGAATTAATAAGTAAAATCACAGTGGCTGAAAAACAGTAAAAATCAAGGAGAAATATTTCTGCGAAGAAGTAACTGTTTATTTTATTGTTAGGTTAGGTAGACAAAATTGGATCTACCCCACATAAGGTGGGTAAGTGGTAATAAGTCCAGTCCAGACGCTAAATAGCTGTTGCAGTTAAGACCTGCCACGCCTGCCATTCTCAAAATTGATTATTTCTTTACTGCGCTTGAAATGGAACGCTCGCCAAGGAAAGTTACAGAAGATCACAGTAAAAAGTTGGTGTTTGTTACTGTAATGACTTAGGTTCCAGGGCTTCATGGGATATAGATTTAGGCTGGCAAGGCAAGATGGCTAGATTGCCACTTTGGTGAATACGCTTTTTGGTGTGATCACGCGTAAGTCATTTTTCTGGTAAAGCTCAATGGGCAATATTCCAAGTCAGAACCAAATTAGCGTGATATTATTTAAGAAGTCTCACATACTCTTAAGTTCACAGCAAAATCTAGTACACGTGTGTGTAGTTTACGTTAAGAATTAACCATCGCACTACCCTTCTATCAGGATCCCTCCTGAAAAAAAGGGGCCCTAAGTATGGGAATGAGCCCCCACTACTACCTATATTTAGGGCTACACAAAAATAATAAATAATGCACGCGTCAAGTATACAATGTTATTGTTACACAAAGTCTAAAGCTCTAACTGTCTTAGTTGAGTTGTTAGAAGGCACAAATATTATAGAGATCTTCATTAGATTTAGTTCAGAGTTGACCCCATCTTCCAAGAGAATGTAAACAAGCGCGCCACTGTCAAAAAAATGGCAAATTTCATTTACACACTCGGGACTCGGGATACTGATGATGGCGATGTTTATTAAAAAATATTGGAAAAATTCTTGCGAGAGCATTTTAATTAAAACGCAATATTTCGGAGGTGAGTACTGACTCCTCACATAAATTTTCTTCATAACTTCATGAAGTATTTACTGTAATTATGTAATAATGTTTGTTAACATTATAAGTTTCACATTGAAGAAACTGATAAATATATATTATACTTATAAGTTTACCGTTAAAAAGATTGTAATCTTAATGAAATACATTTATGGCGGTATCGGTATGTCAACTGGCTACTGTATTGTAACAACGACCCTGGAAAATGCCTTACCTAATTAAAGAAGCTTCTTTATGTATGTTTAAAAAATTCTAAATTTCTGAATGAAACATTTGTTATATATTATAGTGGACATATTGATTAGAACATTGTCATGTTAGCCAGTCAGGATTTTAAGAACCTAAATAAGTCGAAAATATCTAAATCTTGTCTTATTTTTAAAAAGTTAGTTCATGAGATGTATATAGATAGATTCATGCCAAAATATAGCGTGAAAAATAATTAAGAATAGAATTAAACTATCTGATATTTTGATTTTATGTTAATGCGGTAATACCTCAATAGGGTATTTGACAGTATTAAAAATAAAGTGCCAATTGTTATCATCTGTGTTTAGAATGAATATTGGCAGGTGTGTTTACTACTTTTACAAAAAAAAATATTCATAATTTTACTAAAAACCCACGAAGATGATAATAGTTTTTTTATCTATTGTCACGTACCCAAAACGCTTGGGATTGGCGGAGCCTAAAATGACGTCACACGCAAGTAAACTTCCGGTTTAAGTGACATTACATTGTATCGTTTGACGTTTTAATAACAGTCGTGTGACGTCACACACCAGTAAGACGCCATATTGTCCAGAAAAACGTTTTCGCGGCAACTTGAAAATGGAGTTTTGATTTGGTTATTTTTACTGAAATACACAACAGAATGATGAATATCCACTTTTCAAGGACTCCATAAACAATAGTCAATAACGTGAGATCGTTTTCTAGAACTTGTCAAATACCCTATTTCCTTGAATGGATTTTGATCAGTGGTCGTAAGAAAGGTAGGAAAAGTATCGCCCTTATAATGAGAGGATAATAATAAAGCCACAAAAATAAGCATCC